TAGTTTTTTTATGGGATATAATATGATATAACTACAGTTCCAAGGGTTTATAAACACAATCCCACCTTGGATACAAGGGACGTTGAGAGTTTCCATTGTCACCTTTGATAGTGGGGATCAACACCAGGGGTATCCTGAGGATAGCATGGATCTTCGGTGATTTCTGGCAGATTTTCATAGTTTGTCTGAACATTGGGGACCCCTTATTTGATGGTGCAACCCATTTTGACATCTGCAACCAAGTGACATAGAATCATAGTCATAGACTAGTAGGGACAAGTGTGAAGTGCAACCATTTCGAAAACAGATTTGCTAAGAAAAACGCAAAGTAACATACTGGTTGGTGGTTTTAACCATCTTGAAAAATATCAGTCAATGGGATTGATTATCCCATATATTATGGAAAAAAACATGTTTGAAACCACCAACCAGAATAGTTCGCGTCAGCCGTTGACACAATTGGTAGCCACTGTGCTAAAGATACGAACTGAGCTTGGAAGCGCCGCAAAAAAAAACAGGTGGATAATCCCCCTCCCCCTAATACTCAAAACCCCCCTATGGACCCCCATGAATAGATCCAATACTAAACCAATGTTTCAAATGGGAGGTGACCTTTTATTAGTGGGATTATTTACCCTCTGGTTATGTCAAAATAGCTATTGGAAAATCAGCATTTTTTTCATGGGACAATCAACTATTTCTAAATGGCAATTTTCAATAGTTTTTTGTATGTTTACCAGAGGGTATCCCATTCATATCCCATTCATATCCCATTCATATCCCATATAGAGTCCCATTAAATCATGATAAATCCCATTGAATCACTATAAAGTCACCATTAACTTTTACTTTTTGGGCAAATTCAAGAGCCTAGAGCCTCTAGAGCTTGCGGTGAACAATTTGTAGCTGTATCCGCGGGTCGATCCCCATGTTTCTTCCACAGAGATCAGTTGGTGATATCCAGCATTTGAAAGTGGGATCTCTAGCCACTGGTTGGTGGTTGACCTACCCCTCTGAAAAATATCAGTTCGTCAGTTGGGGTTACTGTTCCCAGTATATGGAAAAATAAAAAATGTTCCAAACCACCAACCAGCCATGTATTGAACTTCCTGAGGTATGAGGGAATAGTATCAACATGATTCAAAATGTAAAAACCACATGTGTTTTTTTTTTCTGCTCATACCCTCATCGATGGTTCACCAGTGATTCATTTCTTTCTATCTCTATATTTGTGACATCCCAATTCGCATCTCAGTTCAGCACCAATGTCTGTTAACATGGGGCGAAAAACACATGGGACTAAACTGATTACCCAGCCTCACCAGTCAGGTTCACCAGAGTGCCGCCATACTTAAGTTATATCATCCCAACATCATGCTAGTGAAAGGATCATGGTTAGACTGTTATAGCCGTCAAAATGACCTAACTGCACCCCATGATATCCCCATGATAAACAATTCATGTCCATGAAATTCCATTTAAAACACCATGAACCATTCCATGGAATTCCATCAAAATAAAATATTGAATTCCATTAGATACCAGCATGTTTTGTGGCTCGTATATCATCCCCCAAAGCCCAAGTAGGTTGTATGGGTTTGTCTGAAAATAGTGTACACCTAAATCCTCTGGATGGATCGTTTTCCCTACGAAAATTGCCATGCCAAAATGGCCATTTGGAGGGAACAGCACCATTTTCAGACAAAGCCATATCCCACTTACTAAGTACTAGTAGATCATCGCACTTGGTTTCTTAGTAGATCATCCCATACGTAGTAGATGATATCCCTGACATTCCCTGACTTTGTAGCACCTGCTGCCGCTTTCCGGATGATATCTTTGGGATAGTGCACCTTCTGCTCCAAGTTGGCGAAAATTCGACGGAAAACGGGGGAAATCCATGGGAAAGTGGTGAAAATCCATGGGAAAATGGGGAAAACCATAAGAACATATAAGAACATAGAGAAAATCCAATGGATAATAGGGAATTATCTATAAAACATGAATAGGAACATTAGGATTTTAGCAAGAAGAGCTTGATGTTTGTATCATGAAATTACATGAAATTATGATAGCTATATTGGTGAACATACGTAGGCTACCCATTGGGTTCGTGGTGATGAAATATCTATAGTTTGTGGGTGAAAATAGATCAACGAGCATAACTAAGGGCACTGCCTTTTGGACACGAAACATGGTTAACACGGTAAACAAAATGCTTTTCTTGCAGAAAAAACGCTGATTCGAATTCATTCGAAATAAACTGAAGATTTCACAGCCGGCTCCGTGGTTAGAACTCGATGAAGTGATCCCACTTCACTATATGCCCTTGGCCGTATAACAAAAGGAAACAACTCGGCATCATTCCCCAAGGTTTACCCAGTCATATATCGACTATTCCCACTTTTGTTGGGTCAAGATCTGCATTTGTCATTGCGATGGTGTGGTAAATCCAATAATCAACTATTCCCAATGACCCATCACAAATGGGTGGGCTTTTTGTTTACCATTCCCAAGTATGACGTTGGGCTTACCACATCATGGTTTATCATCATCAAATGTCATTTTACTTGCCGTACAATGGGGTGTCTCCAATTCTTGCATAATTGGATTAGTAGCCCTTTTACTTACTGCTACTTAGCAGGGAATGAGGGAATGATCCACAATAACTATCAATAATCATCCCAGCAACCCCCATTCCCATCCATTCCCTACTAAGCACCAGGAAGTTTATTCAGACGTCCATGTGGGTCACAGGTACATAAATGTTGGATTAGAGTGGTCCCTGAAAGGATTCCAAACAGTTTTCCAGGACGCAGACGATGTTTCTCCCATTCCCGGAGAATCAAACACGGCTTGCTGGACAATCTTCCCATTTACTTCGAGGCTGCGGCAAGCTATGTTTGATTACCATGTGTTGGATTACTATACTTCTGGATGGTGTTGCAAAATGTTACAAATTATATTTCCCCATATATTGGCTGGATTTCTACAAGTGATAGGTTTCGCACTTTTCTCTCTATTTGTGGTTTACTACACTTCCATCACACCTTTTACTTGGATACGCCAGGAGCCCTGGATTCAAATTGTGAATCTGGATACACTATGATACACTATGACCATTCATCAACCTCTTTAAAGATCACATTTTTGTGATAGTTACCCTCTGGTAAACTAACATAGCTATTGAAAACCACCATCTTTAATAGGTAAATCAATTATAAATGGGCAATTTTCCATAGCTATGTTAAATTACCAGAGGGTATCCAATTCATGGACCAGCTATGCCAGCTATTTTCACCTGCTTGGAGGATCATCATCCACATTTTTGTGCTTCAAAAAAAACGGTGAAGTGAAGTCCTCTAAAGTGGGTTATCCCCATGTCTAAATGATATATATATATATAATTACATATATATATATTTATAATTTGGGTAAAACAATAATAAACAATCCCCCAAATATCACAATTTTGATAGGTGGTATATTTTTTCAACCATTCCCAGTCATGAGTGGTTTTATAAACATTATCCTGTTACTAACCAGTTACCAACCAGTGACGAGTGTCACCACATGGCCCCACCTGAAGGACAGGTTTTCGGGTCTCATGGCCGTAGTGTTTCTGATAGTCTGGTAAGGCCTTAGGTAAGACCCGATCGCCCGTTAAGGTCAGGTCATTTGGAGTGGTGTTTCTTCGGGAAATTTGGCAAGGTTGAACCCCCCCGTTAATTAATTGAACATGGGGAACAACAAATGGGCTTCAAGCCTAGATTTTCCCTGCAATCCAGTGGAATTGGGAGAGATCGTCAACTTATGATCCTCGACTCTGTCCAATGGGTGATCTACCCCACAGGCGAGCGAAAAAAAAAATAGGGGAAACATGATTATAAACCATTGGACTTTGGGATACAGCGAACTCTATATCTTCAAACAAACCCACATATGGAAAGCACGGAGAAGACTCCGAAAAAATGGGATCTACATCTTATGTCTTATGTTCAAGTTCTTACCTGAGATCTACTGTAGAATTTTGGGTATAAACATGGATCTGAATATACCCTTCTTAAGAAGGGTGGCTCTCATCATGTCCTGTGATGATGCAAGTCAATTGCATCAAACAGGTATGGCTTTTAATCTGTTCTGGTTTGGACCAGAACCATACAAGTTTCCGCATGCCACGCAAGTGTGAGTCACACCCATTCAAAGCAAGCAGCTGCACATCAAATCTCAATCAAAATGATACACCCTAACAAGTTCATGTCAAAGTGGAACATATTCCATTCCTCTGTCAAAATGACCGAAATTATCATTTGCCATAATGTTTTGCTATCATCGAAGATTTCTCCAAACAAAGGGCTGTTCACAGTCTCAATCCAAATGGATGAGCTGGTGGCTGGTCATGGATCCAGACACCCCCTAAGAAGGTACGGCTGGATACATAGGGAATGAGTAAAACCATTGCTATCCAGTGGTTAGGAGGGAGCTAAGGAGCTATGGGTATTCATATTCCCTATTAAATGGGGAGCGATTTGGAGCTACCAAGAGTTTCCCAACCACATATACATCCCATTGTGTAATTATGCACCGCAAACTCACGTACAGATATGGATCATCCATCATTTCTAGATCATTTCCAAGAGTACCCATGGATCTTCCATGTCATTTTGTGCGTTTACCTCAGGGTATATACCCTCGATCAAAGATGGTAATGGATCATTTCCTCATTCATAGATTACCCTTTGGTAATTTGACATAGCTATTGAACATGGCCATTTATAGCTGGTTTTCCCATTAAAAATTGTGATTGTCCATAATTATATGTACTCATTGAAATGCCCATTTGAGGGGATTTGCG